TGAGATGGAGTCTTGCTCTGTCTCCAGGCTGGAGTGCAGTGGCAGGATCTCAGCTCACTGCAACCTCCACCTCCTGGGCTCAAGTGATTCTTCTGCCTCAGTCTCCCGAGTAGCTAGGACTATAGGCACCCGCCACCCTGTCCGGCTAACTTTTGTATTTTTAGTAGAGATGGAGTTTCGCCATATTGGCCAGGCTGGTCTCGAACTCCTGACCTCATGATTTGTCCGCCTTGGCCTCCGAAAGTGCTGTGATTATCTTAACAATGAATGGGACCTCTAGCTCTGGGCTAAAGGGTGAAAGTGTTGATGGCTGCATGAAAGTCCACCCTCCGTGAAGGAGAAATGTGAAGTAGACACACTACAGTGATGTCTTATTGTGTAACAAGGGACATCGTTATAACTAGTTAAGTGCTTAGGAACGCAAGTCATTTTAAAGGCTTTATACTGAAAAGATAGCATAAATGTTTGGGACTAACCTAGTCCTGCCTTTATCACCTCTAGGAAAGAGGAAAGATAGTTGCTACTCTGTAGTGCAGAAGATGTGTTCTGAAATGTGGCTCGCTGGTGGAAATGAATTTGCCTAGAGCTTTTCAGACTTGACTTGCCTGGTTCCTCTAATAAAAGTGGACGTGATGTTTACAGTCAGGGCCAGGAAGCAGGGAAGGAAATCACTGACTTCTGGGAGCGTGGACTTTACTAGCCTATAAGCTCCTTGAGGATAATCTTAAGTCTGTGAAGTACTCATTTCTGTGTCCTGGAAGTGTGCCTAGCAGAGAAAGTACTTGATAACTGTTCTTCTGGATATGGCCCTCTAAGCACATGTCTCACGTAGGCCAATAATGTCCTTTATTTTACAAAGTGCAGTGGAACTTAAAGGTACTAGCAGGTCTGCCTCCACACAGGGTGATGGGCCTTAGAGATCTCTGCCTTAACAAGACAGGGACTGGTCCTTTAGGAAAACAAAGTAAATACTATTTTGAGAATAATTACAAAAACACCTTTGGGGGGTAACTATCTTTGCAGAATGCTCACTATGTGCTAGGCACGATTCTCATCTAACTTTGCAACATTAAAATAGAGTTGCCAATATTTTCTTCATTTATATATGAAGAGAGTGAGGCTCAGAGAAGTTAAATAAGTTGCTCAAAGTCATAGCTAGTGAGTGGTGATTTCGGGATTTAAACTCGGGTGTATGCAACCGCAAAGCTCACCCTCTTCCTAAACAGTACCTGGCACACAGTAGGTGTTCAATAAATACATTTGGAATGACTGAATTTTCCCCTCCTCCATCTTCGTCAGCTTACACTGGCCTCTCCTTGGTTCCTCCTCTGACCTGGCCTGATGTTTCAAAGTGACACTGACCTGCCCTTAAAGAGTTTTATTTGTAGAGAAGGGGTCTTGCTGTGTCAGCCAGGCTGGTCTTAAACTCCTGGCCTCAGCCTTGGCCTCCAAAGTGTTGGGATTACAGGTGTGAGCCACCATGCCTGCCCGATTTAAAGGTTTATTTATTTATTTGACACAGGATGTTTTCTATGCCGCCCAAGCTGGAGTACAATGGCACGATCACAGTTCACTGCAGCCTCCAACTCCTGGGCTCAAGCAATCCTCCAACCTTAGCCTCCTGAGTAACTAGGAGTACAGGCATGAGCCATCATGCCCGGGTAATTTTTATTTTTTATTTTATTTATTTATTTTTTTGAGATGGAGTCTTGCTCTGTCGCCCAGGCTGGAGTGCACTGGTGTGATCTTGGCTCACTGCAACATCTGCTTCCCAGGTTGAAGCGATTCTCCTGCCTCAGCCTCCCGAGTAGCTAGGATTATAGGCCCATGCCACCATGCCCGGCTTATCTTTTTGTATTTTTAGTACAGACGGGGTTTCACCATGTTGGCCATGCTGGTCTCGAACTCCTGACCTCAGGTGATCCGCCTGCCTTAGCCTCCCAATGTGCTG